GAAACGTATCATTCCATCCATGATTCTGTATTATAACATACGCATTATAAAATAGGAGAGACACGATAATCGTTTCTATCTTTATCATGTACATGTATCCGCAAATCGTTAACGAAAACATAATCTTTTCTGCTGAAATATGTAACTGAATTTTTGCGGACAACTTAATAGACATTATTGTGGCCACTTTATTAAAAGAGTGAGTCATGTACAGTCATGTTAATAAATATAACAAAAATTGGCTGTAACGAACACCGATAGAAGATGAAATATCATATTGTCATTATCATGTAAGCACAGTTCAATTTAGCTGAAACTTTATTTCAGCAATTTGAACTTAGGAAAGCTCTTCCCCGCTCACTATTTTAAAATTGTTATTGTAACGATTTTTTTTTAATACGTATTTTGAATTCGGTAGAAATAAATAGCGAAACATTATTTTATTGATTTAACATATACGATATAGTAAAACAGCTCATTTCTGTGACATAATTTTATAATTGTACCACAAAGTGCAGCCAATTGTTCAAAGTTATTTGAAAATACTGATTAATTTTCTTAGAAGCAATTTGAGCCAATAACTATAATATATAGAAAAGTGGATTAAGGGAAAGTAAGCGTATTATATGAAACTTTATACATAGATAGAAAAGAATGAAAAGAAACCAATTTATAGGATAAATAATAAAAAAAATATGCGAGCATTTAAACTTCCTGGTATCGCTACAGAGTAAATAAAATCTATTCTATTGCAATCAATTCTTTTAGCTATCTGAATTTACACTTCTTACGCAATGCTTTCTGAATTGTTTCTCGAATTTTGTGCCGTTTCCATCGTTTTTTTTTCTATTATCTTTGCGAAATATATAATATTTGATATTTTTTCCTCTTTCTCTCGCTCTTCTGTCCCGTTATCTTTCTTCGCGTAATTTTTCTTTAAAAAGAACAGCACCCAGCTCAGAATTATTACTTTCTTCAAGTAAGAAGAAACAAAGGCGATATTTGCAATACGTCATTTTTATTTGTTATTAAAGTTTCTCGAGGTGTATGTGTGTGTACGTATGTACATATATATACACACACATATACATATATATGCACGCACACATACACACATCATATATACACTATAGTATATTAATTAATAGTGATATCTTTGCGCGTGTGTATCTCGTAGCTACAATTTTCTATAATTTATACACGAAACGTTTGGTATCTTTCGAGGGTACAAGAAAAAATCAGAATATCGACATTTAGACTATAATATCACAATAATTAACTGCGATTATGTTGGTATTACTTCAGCTTTACACAATAGCGGCAATCATAGAAAATACAGAGATACTAATTATATGAAATTGTTATCAAGTATTGGAATATATTCTTGGACTTACCTAAAACGAAAATATAAAAAATTGTTCCTTATCACTAACGTGCTCGCGGGAAATGAGTGCCTTACGGTATAATTCACACGAGCATATTCTTGGCATACAAGCATGATTTTTTTTTTAAATTTTACCATGGCATATTCGCACCATCCAACTTAGATCAGCTAAAGCTCGAGTAGTTTTCTACAATAATGACTCAGTTTTGAACGAAGTTTGCTCAATGCGCTCGTTTCACAATTGATCCCAATACTGTGTTATCAGTATCAAAGACTCGCCGATACAAGTGGGATACTTAAAAAGTATTAACGGACTCCACCTTTTGAATGCGCTATGAGCCACTGTAACGTAATATCGATATTGTCTTTTTCTTTACACGAAATACTGTAGCAACAAATCTCACGGTCCTGAATCGCAGACAGATTCCTAGAACACACACATATTGGTCGTACAAGTTGCAAAATGTAACGCGCAGCTAAACAGGTAACTTACATTCTTTCTATCAGTCCATTCTCGTCCAATGCATGAGGTAAATCCCTTTTATTGCCCAGAACCAGCACCGGTATCCCAGACAATTGCGGTTTATCCAACAAATTGTGCAATTCATTGCGGCTTGCCTCGATCTTCTCCGAATCAGCTGCGTCCACCATGTAAACTATGGCGTTTACGCCTCTACAGTATCTCTCCCACATGGATCTAAACCTTGGTTGGCCACCGATGTCCCATACTTTTATAGTGACGTTGCCTTTGGTGATTTTACGCATGTTAAAGCCTACAGTCGGTATCATGTCTTCGCTAAACTGCCCAGACTGCACGAAAGAGAAGAGTTATCTTTCTATTATTAGTAATACAAGGATTACAATTTTTTTATTTCAATGCAGTTCTCATTGCAGCAACGACACATTTCCCACAAGTTTATCTTGCGATTGGTTTGCGACAAAAATTCAAGTTACGAGTACGGAAACAATGCGGAGGAGTAATTAAAAGTTTAACTACATTTGCGATATGATAACAATACGACTTTCGTCGGAGAAAAAGAACAGGGAGAGAGAGAGAGAGAGAGAGAGAAGGGACGAAAAATAAGCAGTAACAATGGAAAAACTCGGCACACGGTAATCACGGTCAGTCGCGATTACGTGTCGATATGTAAAATGATTTGACGTAAGGGCGTATACGTGTATGGAGACGGTGTATGTTAACAGCGACGGAGTTACTTCGAAGGGGTTATTGTATCTAACCAAGACGTCGCGATACGCCGAGGAAATCCTTTCTCGCGGGCCTCGCGACGCGCGCGAGATAAATACAGGGGATCCGTGTGACTCACGCACCGCTATGACATTCACGAAGGTAGTCTTTCCGCTGTACTGCAGACCGACGAGAGTGAGTTCCATCTCTTCCTTCCAGAAGAGGGACTTGAACCAGTCCAAAATCCGATTGATGAGGGCCAGCATATTGAATACCGCGCGACCAAATCCAGCTCCGTCGAGAGGTTATTAAAGTGGGAGCACCTTGAAAATACGGAGCCGCTGGTACCCCTTGACGTACAGATCTCGCTGTATCCGCCAGTCAGGATACGTCAGACGCACCAGACACACCAGTGCCCCAACTCCCAGATGGAGAAACCAATTCCACGCGTGCGCAATAGCGCGAGGATAGCAGACGCGCCAGCGGTCCTCCCCCTGTCAGGAGAGCGATCCAATTATCCAACATCACTCCTCTGTCCCCCCACAGGCGACACGTTCTTTACAATTCCATCTCTTTCGTACTCTACACCCTTTGTAGCCTCATCATCTTACGTATCCTATCATGGGCGGATCCGTCAAATCCGTCGACAACAACATTTCGCGCTTCCAGAAAGTTTCGCTGCGTTCCGAGACCCATCAAGATACAGA